CGTTTTGTTTTTGTTTGTTTTCCTTCTCTTTTTTTTTTAGTGGTCGTGTGAAAAAGCAAACAAAAGAACAAAACATGCGCGTCACGCTGTGCCAGATGGCGGTTGTCGCTTCCAAAGAGGCCAATATTGCAAAGGCCGTCGCCATGATTACGGCAGCAGCAGAAAGGGGCTCGAAACTTGCTGTGCTCCCTGAATGCTTTAATTGCCCTTACGGCACAAAATACTTCAAGGAGTATTCCGAGGAATTGCGTCCCGGATTCCCAACCCATGATGCGATGTCCAAGGTCGCCAAGGAAAAGAATATATGGGTTGTGGCGGGCAGTATTCCAGAAAGCACAGATGGAAAGATATACAACTCATCTATGGTTTTTGATTCAACAGGTCAATTGCGACATGTTCACAGGAAGATTCATCTCTTCCGAATCAATACAGAAACTGTGCAAATGGATGAGAGTGAAATTCTTACAGCAGGGGATACCGCTTCTCCCGTTTCCATGGATGATGAAATTAAGTTTGGTGTTGCCGTTTGCTTTGATATGCGGTACCCACAGCTCGCCTGGAAATACGCGATGGAGGGAACTTCCTTTTTGGTTTATCCCGGTGCGTTCAACATGGTCACTGGGCCACTACATTGGGAATTGACTGCCAGGGCACGCGCTATGGATAACCAGCAGTACGTTCTATTGTGTTCTCCTGCACGTGACACCAAGGCTGGTTACGTTGCCTGGGGGCACTCATTAATTGCGGACCCATACGGTAAGGTAATCGCCGCTGCTGAAGAAGGGGAGACATACGTTGATGCTGAATTGGATTTCGATATCCTTTCAAAAGCGAGGAAGCAAATTCCGATTATGAGTGGTGCACGCCATGACATTTACTCAATGAATTGGAAATAACAAAACGAGCGTTTTTATTTACAACGTGATATGCCGTGCTTGGCCACGTGCTTTTTTGTCTATTTTTGCATTTTCAGATCTCTTCGGTGAGGGTAACAAGGCATTGAGTTTTTATTTATTATTAATCCGTATTAGTTAGCAATTTATGCTGGTATCTACAAATACGCAAACTAACCAAAAAAAAAAATGAAATCGTCTTTTTTTTGGGTTCTCTTGCCGTTTGGGGGTGAGATAAATATTTCTTCTTCCCTCTTCACTTGAAGACATGTATCGTAGATTAGGCCCAACAGAAACTATTAGGTATGTATTGCTTGCCTCTGCACGCAAATGTTGCGTGAATTCAATTGACAACGCGCGCGCTATGCAGGGGGAGGCTGAAAAGGCCACGCAAGTACACGAGGCGGAAATAATCAGTGAGACAAGGTTGTGCAAGGAGGAGGTTCCAGATTCACCAGGAGACATTGCGCGTCAAGATGTGCGTTCTCTTTCAGAAGGGGAAAACGTTGTTTTGGAGCTGAACCGTCTCCAATATCTCTATTCCCAAGAAGGCCCATTTATAGGCTCCCGGAAGAAGGACACCTCCGATACGTCTGTGGATAAGCGTGGCCGTCGTCACATTGTTAGAGTTCCCCAACCAGAGGTGGACTATCGTCCCAACGAGACTTCCTTTAGGAGGCTGCCGAAAAACACGCGTATTCCTAATGAATATGAGCTGCGGGCACTGTATCCACAAAGTACAGGTCTTACGTTGGTACAGGGAAATGCTGCTTGTGTTGATCATAGCGCATTCAATGTCGATGAAGATCCGGCACCAATGGCATATACAATGGTTACACCCCCCGATTGGTCAAAGGAGCGCGAGTATCCTTACATGGTTGTCCTTCCCGATCATCGGGGTATTCCGCGAGACTTTGAAGATGTGTGCGCAAACTTTTTTGAGCGTCCGTCGCATAGGCAACTGATGCTTGAACAAAACTGGGTTATAATTTCTCCCATCGTTAACCTTCGACACAATTTTCAGGTTCCAGTTGAAGGTGTGGTAGCGCGCTTTTGTGACTGGGTTGTTGAGAACTTCAATGTGGAGCATGGGAGAGTTCATTTATTTGGGAAAGGGAATGGGGGTTATGTTGCTCTTCGTACCGCAATGGAGCATAAGGAAGTGGCTATTAGTGTGACAGCAATACTAGGACGGTCTGGAACGCCATTCAGACCACTAGATCGTCCCCAGGAGAAAGTAAGAAACCTCAATGGGGTACATACACTAGTGTTTGTACCTGGTCTGTTGAGAAAACAGGACTGGTACTACAAGTTCAAGTTTATGATGGACATGGCACGCATCAGACCGGCATTGAGGAATATTCACTTTGCTGATGTGCGGGACCACCAGGTGTATTATGCCATTAACCCGTACGAGTTTTGGAACCACATGAAATTTTTTCGTCAGCATAATATCAAGATGGTGACAGAAAGCGGCTACAATATTCGTTGAGTCCTCCATTCGTGTGAAGTGATGACTTGCCTTGTTTTCTTCTCTTCCTCCTCACCCTCTTTTTGTGTGGGGCTGCGCATAAATCTGAATGCTGCTTGCGGATATATACTTTTTTTTTGATTATAGAAACTGTTTCGGTACACTGCCTTTTCTTTTTCCTCTCTCTCTCTCTTTTGCCTTTTTTTCCTTTATCAGGGAATTCGTTTGATTGAGTCCATGACATTTAGCGCGAGAGACGCGGTGCTTAACGATGACGAGGAGTGGTTCAACATCCCAGCGGTGGTGCGCAGTTTTCTTCGCCAACTGAACAATGAGGTGCAGAATAACCGGCTGGCATGCGATACGTTGCTGCAGAGCCAACGGGAGCAGGATGGGCTGCTGAAGGGAGTTGCGTCGAAGCAGATGGAGCGTGAGTTTCAAATGACCAAAACGGTTCTGGCGTTGCAGCAGGACCGACAAGAGGACCAGACGTCTCTTCGCGAACTGGTGGAGAACATGCGCGATCAAATGCGTCACTTGAGCGAGGAGCAACAACTAATGAGGGATCGTGTCCGGCGCATGGAAGAGCGAGAGCAGGAGGCGATTGCCATGCACGACTCCCTTCGTGCCCAGTCCACCAGCTTGTCCAAAGCATTGAATGGCCGCTCAGTGGAGTTGGAGACTCTGCTGCACCGCAGTGTTGGGGAACTGTCGAAGGGTTTTGGTGAATTGGAGAAGGAGGTTCGCTTGATTTCGACGAAGCAGACCGACATGGTGGTGGAGAGCCGGGGGGAGCTTGAGCGCTTCAATGCCGCGCTGCAGCAGCTCTGTGGTGCGGTTTCTGAGGAAGTGGACAGCCTCAGAGCGCAGGTTCAGGGGCAAGAAAGGTCGTTGGAGGATCTGAAGAGTTTTAGCCGTGAATGTGAAGGAAAGGTTGAAAAACAGGTCAGAGTATCTGCTCGATTGCGTGAAAAGGTGAGTGACGCTGTGGCCGTGATTAAACAGGTGGAAACATCCTCCGATGAGCGTTTTGAATCTGTATTTAGTGCATTGGAGAAAACGCAAGTGCTAACAAACAAACTCTCTGTGATCCATCAGCAGAGAGGTGAAGATCACTCATCATTGAAGACAATACTTGAAGAAACACGCGATACTCATAGTACGTTGACAAGAGAGTTACAAAAGACTCTGGATGAACAGTCAAGGAGTCATGAAAAAGAGTTTATGGACTTGAAAGGACGTGTTAGGTATTTAGAAAAATTTAATGATGAAGAGGCTAACCGATTAAATGAAGACGTTACGGTGGCCCGGTTCGGTGTCGAAGAAGCACATCGTCGTCTGGATGCTCTAGAGATTGGAGCGAAAGCCCCCAATCTGAGAGAGGAGATGAAAGATCTTTTGAAAAATGCCTTGACAAATGAACGAATGACATGTGAGAAGGGCTATATGGAGCTTAACCGTTGCTTGTTGCAGCAGAAAAATGCTCTTTTTGAGGAAATTGAGCGCGTCAAGACAGCAGTGGGCGATATGGACACCAAGTGTGAACTAGCGAGGAGTTCAGTGAGAAGGACAGATGATATTGGAGAGTCTGTGCAGGCGTTGACCAAACAGGTTGGGGTTATTGGAAATTCTTTTGAATGTATGCGTGAAGATATCGATATTGTGAAGAATGCGGTAAAGGCCTTTGAGATGCGGCCCCTTACAATGATAGACTCAGATAGAGAAAATAAACCTCATACTGCCTTAAACCAATTGAAAGAAACAAGAAACATTGTGACTGACGCTGATCTTGAGGAAGTGCGAGCGTTGGTCGAGCAGATACAATATAGACTTAATACCCACGACAACCAGATGAACGAGATGCACCGAGACGTGCTACGTTATGAGACACTTGTGAAGGAAATACCTCGCTCCTATCAGCGCTACATGGAGACCGTCGATGAAAAGTTGTCACCAGCTTTGCTCGAGTTGGATGTGCTGCGAAAACGAATGGCATCTTTTGAGCTAGAACAGACGAATGCACAACGGCGGGAAGGGATGCATAGTAGTCCCCCAACGGCTTCTCATCATGAAGATGATGAACTCGAAGGAATACGAGTAAAACTTCAGCAAAATCAGGCATTTCAGTCTACACAGCGACAGGTTCAGGCGATGGATGTGCGATTGGACAGCTTGCAGGCACATGTGCAGAGTCTTGAGCGAAAGCTGGAGTCTATTTCGAGGGAGATTTCTGATGTGTCTGGAATAACCGCCGCACTTCAGGAAAAGGAAGACCAAAGTGACAAATTTTTGCGAAATGAAATGAAAAGGGTTTTCCTTCAGTTACATGAACTGGAAGAGGGGGTAAAGAACACAGAGCGAAATGTGTCATCGAAGCAAATGTCTCTTCAGGCAATTTCAGGCGACGTCAAGGCATTGGAGGCTTCGATGGATACTGCATCTGCCGAAGTGAGAATGTTGGAGAAAGCCTTAAAGGGTTGCGTGATGTTCACATCCTTGGAGTGGAAGGAACTTGGGAACGAGGTGTCGGTGCTTTCGCGGCATTTTCAGGAAGCAAAGCCCCACATCTCCACTACGGAATGTGAGACGTTTGCGCCATTGTCAAGAGTCTCGGCATTGGAAGAAGCGTTGGCGCAGCTACACCGCGAGCAGCAAGAGTTCGTGGGGTATGTAGAGCAGGCCCAGAAGTCAATGATAGAAGGGACACATCTTGAAACACTTCGAGAAAGAAGTGCAGAGATTGACCGGCTACTTCCCGTACTGGAGAAGCGTCTCGACTGCGTGGAGGAGGCTGTCCGCAGGTGTGAGGCACAGATGGTGGCGAATGCCGGTGATGCACTCACCTCTCTTGGAGCCCGTCTGCAGACACTTGAGGTGTCCGTGAGCGAACTGCAGGCAAGACAGCCATCCACGCCGTCGTCATCCGCATCGTCTTCATCGTCAATAGCGGCGGTGAGCAGTGTGCTGGACCGCGTGGCCGCTTCAGAGGTACGCCTAATGGAGCTGGAGGGTGCACTGCACGACTGCACGCGTGGTGTGGCGAAGAGCACCGATGACGTGAAGGCGTGTGAGGGGCGTTTACAGCAGGTGGAGGCGCGGCTGCTGGAAAGCCGAAACAGTGATAACGTAGAGGATGCGGCAACGGCAGCAACGGATTGCCGCGACGCCTTGTCGGCTGTCGTGGGGCGCCTTGAGAGTGTGGAAGCTTCTGCCGCGGAGTTCTTACAGGCGGTGCGGGCGCAGCAAGACGAGCTGCACGCGCACTACACCAGAGCGCAGCTTGACGCCCGCTTTGAGAGTCTCTGGGCCTCCTTCATCGCTCTGCTCACACGCAAAGAGGACCAGGAGACGGTGGAGGAGCGGCTGCGGGAGCTACGGCGTGGGGTGACAGAGGATGTCGCGGTGCAGGTGAACACTGCGGTACGAGAGTTGCGGCACGCAATTGAGGAGCGTGTGAGTGTCACGGAAGTTCGAGAATTACTGCGAGGGATGCGCGAGTGAGCCATGGAATTGCACGACAGGAGTCTTGCGAAGAGGGCGGTTTTACAAATTTTTTAAAGTCACGGACTGCTGGTGCTGGTGCAATAGAGTGCGTGGCCCATTGTGGCGCAACATGCTGCTTTTGTCTGCTTTGGGCAAACACGGTAATATAAATATATATATATATATATATATATATA